TATTTTAAATTTTTTAAAGATTTTATTTATTTGACAGAAACACAGTGAGAGAGGGAACACAAGCAGGGGGAGAGGGAGAAGCAGGCTCCCCGCTGAGCAGAGAGCCCGATGTGGGGCTCGATCCCAGGACCCTGGGATCATGACCTGAGCCGAAGGCAGACGCTTAACGACTGAGCCACCCAAGCGCCCCTATTTTTTTATTTTTAAAGATTATTTGAGAGAGTGAGCGAGAGAGAGAACACAAGCAGAGGGAGTGGCAGACTCCCCACTGAGCAGGGAGCCCGACTCTGAGCTCGATCCCAGGACCCTAAGATCATGACCTGAGCTGAAATCAAGAGTCAGACACCTAACCGACTGAGCCACCCAGGTGCCCCAGTTTTCTTTTAAGTAATCTCTGTGCCTAATACAGGGCTTGAACTCATGGCTCTGAGATAAAGAGTCACATGCTCTACCAATTGAGCCAGACAGGCGCCCCAGCATACGTAATTTTTTGAATGTCATAGATATACACAGTTGTTAATAAAGTTTGAAAAAGGGGTGCCTGGATGGCTCAGTCGTTGGGCATCTGCCTTCAGCTCAGGTCATGATCCCAGGGTCCTGGGATCGAGCCCCGCCTCGGGCTCCCTGCTCAGCGGGAAGCCTGCTTCTCCCTCTACCCCTGCTTGTGTTCCCTCTGTTGCTGTGTCTCTCTCTGTCAAATAAATAAAATCTTAAAAAAAAAAAAAAAGTTTGAAAAAGCTAATCTTGTAAGTGAATGTTAGAAGGCCAACAAGGACATTCCCTAGTGGTGGAATCCTGGAACAGATGGAGTATCTGAGGATCCATAGCCCTAAGAACAAGGCAGAAATTTTATTAAATTTTTTTTTTAAGATTTTATTTATTTATTTGACAGAGACACAGTGAGAGGGAACACAAGCAGAGGGAGTGGGAGAGGGAGAAGCAGGCTTCCCACTGAGCAGGGAGCCCGATGCTGGGCTCCATCACAGGACCCTGGATCATGACCCGAGCCAAAGGCAGACGCCAAAAGACTGAGCCACCCAGGTGCTCCAAGGCAGAAGTTTTGTTTGTTTGTTTGTTTGTTTATTTATTTATTTATTTATTTATTTATTTATTAAGGCAGAAGTTTTAAACATTTGTCCTGTAATTCAGTGTAAACCAATCCCTATTCTTTTTATATCATGAAAGCAGAATTTCTTACCTTAATGCACAACTACACCTCAAAACTACCTGCCTTGACAGTCTGCTTCTACTTTACTTGTGCTTAATTTTGTTACAGAAAGCAATCATTAAAATTTCCCTTACCCGAGATTTAAAAAAATAGTCAAATATTGGGGCACCTGGGTGGCACAGTCGGTTAGGTGTCTGACTCTTGGTTTCAGCTCAGGCTGTGATTTCGGGGTTGTGAGATCAAGCCCCACATCGGGTTCTGTGCTCAGCAGGGAGTCTGCTTGAGATTTTCTCCCTCTTACCCTGCCCCCCTCACTCTGTATTCTCATGCTCTCTTTCTCTCTCTAAAATAAATCTTTAAAAAAAATAATCAAGCATTATATTCAAACAGGTCTATGCCAAGTAACAAATGGATAATCGGAAATGATGTATGCACACTGACAAGAAGTGCATTGGCATACTTTGTACAAAACGATGCTAGGGAGCTTACATACAACTGATGATGTAAAATAGTGATTTCCAAGGAATTAGACACTAAGGGCCCTAGAAACTCTACTTCATTTTTTTTTTAACAAGGGCCCCAGAAGATTTTTTTTGTTTTTTAAGATTTTATTTATTTGACAGAGAATACAGGCAGGGGGAGCAGCAGAGGGAGAGGGAGCCCGATGCGTGGCCCAATCCCAGAATCATGACTTGAGCCAAAGGCAGTTACTTAACCAACTGAGCCACCCAGGCGCCGCATGTTTTGTTTTGTTTTTAAGATTTTATTCATCTATTTGACATAGAAAGAAGAGCACAAGCAGGGGGAAGGGCAGGCAGAGGGAGAAGGAGAAGCTGACTCCCTGCAGAGCAGGGAGCCCTACATGGGACTTGATCCCAGGGCCCTGAGATCATGACCTGAGCCAAAGGTAGATGCTTAATGGACTGTGCCACCCAGGTGCTCCAGATTCTAGGTGTTTTTTGTTTTGTTTTGTTTTTTTTCAGATTCTAGGTTTTGGTTAAAAATATGGTTTGGGGGAGGACTTAATCTTCATTGTGGTCAGATTATATATACAATAATATTATAAATCTTGTAATTTTTTTTTTTTAAAGATTTATTTATTTGACAGAGAGAGGCACAGCGAGAGAGGGAACACAAGCAGGGGGAGTGGGAGAGGGAGAAAGCAGGCTTCCTGCGGAGCAGGAAGCCCGATGTGGGGCTTGATCCCAGGATACTGGGATCATGACCTGAGCCTAAGGCAGACGCTTAACGACTGAGCCACCCAGGCACCCCTAAATCTTGTAATTTAACAAAGATTTCTTTATACAAAGTACTCATAGAAACCTAAACAAAAGATGGTTTTTAAGTGTTCTATGTATATAGTCATATTCGTAAAGTAAGTATACTAATCAAAAGCTGTACAACAGAGAAACATTAATAGTGAAGCCGGATGCAAATAAAGATATTTCTCTGAATTCCATTTTATTTTATTTTATTTTATTTATTTGAGAGAGAGAGAGATAGAGAGGGAGCCCGACGTGGGTCTTGATCCCAGGATCCCGGGATTGTGACCTGAGCCAAAGGCAGACGCTTAACTGAGCCACCCAGGCGCCCCTGAATTCCATGTTTCATCAGGCATCAGAAACCACCTATCTTTTAGTCTTTTTCTTTTTTTAATTGCTGTATAGTTGATGTGTTAGTTTCAGGTTTCCAACATTTGATAATTATGTACATTACAAAATGCTCACCACCAGCAGTGCAGTTACCGTGTGTTCCACATAAAATTATATTATTGACTATATTCCCTATGCTATACTTTTCATCCCCATGATCTACTCATTTTATAACTGGAAGTTTGTACCTCTTCACTTAGTTCTCTCATCCCATCCCCCCACCTCCCTCCCCTTTGGCAACCACCAGTTTGTTCTTTGTGTTTATAAGTCTGTTTCTTTTTATTCTTTTTCTTATACATTATTCTGTATCCACATTTTCTGCATCTGATTGGATCCCTGAATTTTATTTTCACTGTGACATTCTCCAGAGATCTAGATCGTTGGCTGCCACTTTGAGGGTTGACCATCCTGTGTATCCACTGTCAGTCCCCACATAGCACAGAGAAACTTCTCACTATGTGCTTCCAGACAGATTTTCACTTGTCACTGTCCTTCCCATCCTTTTATGCAAAGGATATGCAGGGTCCCTGTTCACATGGACCACAGTGTCACCCTGACTCTCCTCCTTGCCCTGGCATTTGAACCCACAGCATTGCTCTAAGCAACTGGTGGTTTGTGGCCCATCTGACAGACCTGCTGGATCACTGCAAGCTCCTCCAGTCGCACAACCTCTAGTAAGTGTGTGGCAGCCAGGCCAGCTGTCAGGGGTGGGGCTGCGGGAGGGCCCCGAATGGAGCAGGCCAGGGGTTTTGGTCTCCTGTTATGTTTTATTCCAGCTTCGGATCTAACATGAGAGAGTTCCTCCTGTTGGAATATGCCTCGGGACTGTTTGCTCATCACAGGTAGGAAGGCCCCAAGGGTGTGAGGCGGCAGCACGGTGTTTTTCAGCATGCAAGTACCCCTGGATCTTGGATTATGTTCTTGCTTGTCTGGTTCCCTGAAGGCTACAGGGGTCTAGGGGAGGAGCCATCTTGGTACCAGGCCCCAAGCTGCAGGGCAGCACGTGGGCTCACCAGACTCTCCTCTGTCTGTCCTTGGACGGTTGCAGCCTGTGGCAGCTGGGAGTGGATTACTTTGACTACTGCCCTGAGCTGGGCCGAGTTTCCTTGGAGCTGCACATTGAGCGGATCCCCCTGAGCACTGAGCAGAAAGCCCTTAAAGTGCTGCGGATTTGTGAGCAGCGGCAGATGACTGAGCAAGGTGAGCCCGCCCTCCCCCTGGCATACTTCCTGCTCATGCTGCGTCAGCCAGACTGGAGAGAGGCCGGGCAGTGGGTCCCAAGAGATAAGCCAAAACAGGAAAATTATTGAGGAAGGACAAACAGCTAGGGAGCGCACTGCCTCTTAAAAAGATCCTGACCCACGTTCTCTCTTCTACTTACTCTAGGAAGGTCAGGACTGGGGTCAGCTTGGAATTTACTTCTCCCAGGTGGGTTGCTGTTGCTAGCTAAGGCTGGCTCAGTGGGGAAGCAGGACCAGAGGCAGCTCAGGAAGAGCACAGAAAGAAAGCAGTGATATTTGCCCTTTCTCCCTTCACTGTTGAGTGATAAAAACCTAAGTTGTTCTTTCCAGAGTCAGTTGCTTGCTTATGACCATCTCTGAAGGCATAGGGCAATTCAAGACCCAAAGGATGTTTTTTGGCACCTGGACAGATAATGAAGAAGCCGATCTGTGGGGAGCAATAAAATCTTTTTGCCGTCCCTGAAATCAAACCCAGTCACAAAGCCAATCCTGTCAGGGTGGGTCCTGGTATAATAGAGCCAGGAGACAATCTGTAAACCCCAAAGTCCCCGGTGTTGCCAACCAAGTTGTATTTGGAGCCTGTGGAGAGGCTGCAGAAAGCTCAGAGGAGGTGGGAAGCCTGCTCCTCTCTGGCAGAGTTCAGAAATGGCCTGATTGGAAGAGGGAAAAGTTCGCCTTTTCTCTTTTTCCCTGCCAAGTTCGCAGCATTTGTAAGATCTTAGCCATGAAAGCTGTCCGCAACAATCGCCTGGGCTCTGCGCTGTCTTGGAGCATCCGAGCCAAAGATGCTGCCTTTGCCACGCTGGTGTCAGACAGGTGGGTTCAACTGCTCCTGGCTTTCTGGGGACTGGCTAGGAAGTTGGGAGGCTGAGGAAGGAGTCCTGGGACCGCTGCTCAGACCTCTGGGCCTGGCCTTGCAGGTTCCTCAAGGATTACTGTGAGCGAGGCTCCTTTTCTGATCTGGATCTCATTGACAACCTAGGGCCAGCCATGATGCTCAGTGATCGACTGACCTTCTTGGGTGAGTCTCTGGGCTCTCAGCCCCAGACCTTTGGCATAGTGGTGGGTTGTGCAGATGGGACGGACTGATCTAGGCTTCTCCAGTGTTCCCTCCTGTTGAGCCCAAACTCCTAGAACCATGTGTGCCAGACTCTGCAAAGCATATTTTCTAACATTTCCCAGTAATTTCAAACTTAAGAGAAAGGTGCAAAAGCAGTATAAGGACTAAGGAACTCCCATGTACACTTTCTCCAAATTTACCATTTTTATTTTGCCTCGTTTATTATTCTGTCAGGTTTTTGGGGAAAAATCTGAAAGTAAGTTGGAGACTTTGTTCCCCTTTCTTCATAAATACTTGAGCATGTGTTTCCTAAGAACAGGAAGATCATCTTAGAGACCCAGCCTCTGAATGTACTACTCTCATCAGATCTGCAGTCCATGTTCTGGTTGCATCAGCTGTCCCAGTGGTGTCTTTTATCGTGTCCACACTCACGGATTCAGTTTTCCTGTCTCTTTAGTGCCTCTGTCTCTCTCGGTGCTTGTGCACCTTGACTTTTTTTTTTTTTTTTTAATTTTATTTGACAGCGCGCACAAGCGGGGGGAGCGGGAGAGGGAGAAGTAGGCTCCCCGCTGAGCAGAGAGCCCAATGTGGGGCTCGATCCCAGGACCCTGAGATCATGACCTGAGCTGAAGGCAGATGTATAACTGACCGAGCCACCCAGGCGCCCCTTATAGAATGCTCTCTTATAGAATGTCGTCAGTTTGGGTTTATCTCCTGTTTCCTCATGATCAGATTGAAACTTATGGGTTCTTCAATCTGTTACAGTCCAGATCTCTTGTTTGGTTTGATGGTTATATTCTCCCAGGTTTGGCTCTTTGGAGCCCCTTCAAAATGTGTTTTTTTCAATCCTGTTGGTCTCATTGGTCCCTGAGTTTGGAGACAGTTCTGGAAGAATCTCCCTGCTTTGGAGTGGCTGGTCTGGGGTGTCTCTTGTCTTGTTTCGGGCCAGAGGTGACCTAGTGCTCTGTTTCTCAATAGGAAAATACCGCGAGTTCCACCGATTTTACGGGGAGAAGCGTCTTACTGATGCAGCTTCTCTTCTCCTGTCACTGATGACTTCCCAGATTGCCCCGCGGTCTTTCTGGGTAATACTACTAATAGACGCCCTGCCCCTTCTGGAAGAGAAAGAGGTACAGTTTGAATTCAGAATGATTTTCTTCTCTGTGTTTTGTAGTCCCTGACTGTGCTTCATTCCGTAGCTGTTGTAGATGCACATCCGTAAGTCATCTCCCAAGTAGGGCCCTGCAGGCCCTGCACGTATGTGTGGATTCCCCCATAATGCCCACTCTGGAAATTCAGTATCTACACAAGAAAAGCTACTTAATTTGAAAGGAGGCAGCTGTCTGCTGACAGTATTCAGCCTAGGTCCCTGACGAGACGGGCTGGGAATGAGCATAGGGGCTCTCTGTCCTCCCAGGGTTGCATATACAGAGCCCACTCCTTCAGAGCGCACATACGGAAGGCCAGCTCTGAACCTGGGCGCATGTCCAAACCAGTGCAGCCCTTGGCTGGGGAGCAGCTAAGCAAAGCAGCCTCTCCTCTCTCTCCTAGGTGGTTTTTTCAGCAGAGCAAACATATGAGTTGATGAGATGTCTAGAGGACTTCGCCTCAAGAAGGCCATTGTGGAGAGAGCCTGGCGTTCAGCGACTCCAGGTTATGTTAGCTTTCAGATTGTTGATTCCATAATGGCGATGAGAAAAGGCTCCTATCTTGGACTCCCCTGCTTCCCTCCAGAAACGCTGGCTCCTTACAAACTTGTGCTTCTTGAGTTACTTCTTAACCTGTAATTGACACACCCAACTTCTTTTAGGATGAAGCTGGGCGGTTCTAGGTGTTCTGATCTCTACTTTTCTGGCACTTGGTCGCAGTGGGCCTTTGCATGCGGTTCTCCTATCAACTTGCTGGAAGCTACTACTAAATGTTAAATGCCTTCGGTCTGCCTTTGGGTCAGATAGAGCCTTGCAGAGCTTTAAAGAAGGAACACTTCCTGCTGTACCTCATGCTGGCTCTCTTTGCTTTTAGGAGGATGTTGAGAACACCAAGTTGGAAATGCTGAGACTTGCTCTTGCACGAAATCTTGGCCGGGCCATTATAAAAGAAGGCTCATTGGAAGGCTCCTGAGACCAGCCGAGAGCTGCTTCAAGGTGGCACCTTTGTATGGCAATGTTTATATATTTCTGAAAATAAACTTTTCCCCCCAAAATAGAAGGCAAGTTCTTAGAGTCCAGCTAGAGAGTTTTCCCTGCTTCTCCTGTGAACTTGAGGTGGTAGAAATTGAGAATGTGCTTGTTATGTTTTCCTTGGACGGGACTGGTTTCCCTGTCTCCCAAGAGAAAAAGCCACTCCTAGAAGTTAGGATGGTGAGTGCAGTGCCCTCCTTCCCATTAGAAATGCAAACAAGAGCGGTCAGTGGTTTACGTAGGCTTCTGAAATCTAGCCTTTAGAATCAACTGGAACATTTATCCGTTTTTTCCTTTACAAAAGGAAAAGGTCCAGGAACCTGTACTTTCATCAACAAAAACCTCAGGTGATGCCAGGATATCTGTCTACATTTGGAATTTGTAAGTGGCACTTTGCCCACAGTGGGGTGGATGGTGTCTGTATTAGGATTCCAAGTAGGGCAGAAATGATTTTATTTAACATGCAGCAAAACAAGGGCAGCAGAGTTGGTATACCGCATACAGCCATTTGTCACAAAGCAGTGACCTCAGTAGTAACACTCCGATAATTTTAATGTCTAAAGCTTATTATAAAGGTGTATTTCCATATAGTAATCCCACAAACCTTCCCAGGGCTGCAAGCAGCCGGTCTCTGGAAAGCTCTTGGATTTCTTCCCTAAGTAGTGAAACTGATTCACTTTTGACCTAATGAAGCAGTGAAACCTGCTTGTTCGAGATGGAGGGGGAAGGGCTAGAGTAAGGAAACCTGGCGAAGTGCGGGGAGGGATTAGGGAGTGTGGTCTGTGTCACCTTTCGCCAGAGGTGGCTCGGTGCCATCCAGCTGAGGTGAGCCGTGTGCCCTTTCCTCAGCTGGTGATTCTCACTCGCCTGGTGCCCTGGGAGGCCTAGAGTCCCTGGCCCAGTTGTACCTGGCGGATGGAGCAACTGGGACAAGCTTTTTGGAGCTGAGCACTGTCGAAGCAATAGGGTCTGGTGACTCGATTCAGGCATGGCCCCTAATCTCACCACCTCCAGACCCCGTGTCTCACTGGCCGTGCCCCTCAGCAGCTGGGGATAGTCAAGGTTCCTGGGCAGCAGGTAAGGCTAGAAGTCTAGTGCAATCTGCCTGACGCTGAGGCCTCCAGTTCCCGAACATACGCCACACCACAGGCCACCTTGTGGGAAGAGGGGGAGGCCCAAGCAGGAGGACGCAAAGGGTGATGGGAGTTGTTCTCCCCTTCAGAGACTCGAAGGGCAGAAGAGCAGTTTATTTCATGCCAAGCAAGAGGTAGTGAGTAGGATGGCCTGTTCCCAAGGCAGGAGGCACACTTTTCCCAGAAAGCTATGAGTACCTGCTTCCAGAGAAGGGAAAATAATGGTTCTCTTCCATTTTCTTTCATATCCCTAGTTTTGACTGCCACAAGGCCAAGTTCTGTTTCTAACAGGCTAGTTCCCCATCCTGCTGAGATGTCCATAGGACACAGCCTGCCACCACCAGAGACAAGCACACAACTCATCACCCAGCGGCCGTTCCAGGATGCTGCTGCCCACGGAAGGCAGAGTTGGAGATTCAGCAGTACACAAACTTACTCAATGCCCAGGGCTGTTCAGGAGCACTGGGCTTTGCCTACCTCCCTGGAGGTGGGAGCAGGAGCCTGCCAGCAGGGGAAGCAGAGAGTAGTGATGGGGGGCTGAGGCCTCCAGGGGTGTGAGGATGTGGTCCTTGAGGGAGAGTCCCAAGTCTCTTTAGAGACCTCCCCCCCCATGGCATCAGAATGCCAGCATGAGGGGAAAAGCCTGCTCCCGCCTTGGGTCCATGTTCCCAGGGCCATAGTGCAGAGTCTGGGGCCACTCCCCACCCCTGACAGTACATGGCCAGTTCAAGTCACACAGGTAGACAAAAATCAGGTCCTTTTAGGGGGCCAAGGGAGAGCGCATCACAGCAGAGCTCGGCTCCCAGCAGCGATGCCCACAGCCCGTTCCATGTCCAAGCTCCAAGCACTGCAGTCAGGACGTGGAGGATGACTGGACCAGGGAGCCCTCCTGTCTTGTGGCAGCCTGCCTGGGCTTCAGTGTGGTGACACGGAGTCCTCTGGGGTCATAGGTTACCCCACTGCTCCACGGGAGGGAACTGGTCCACCTCGCCCACCTCTGTGCTCAGCTGCTCTCCCAGGGCAAAGGTCAGCCTATACCGAAGCCTTGCCTTCTCCTGTGACGGAGGGGGCAGCGTATTAAGGTGTGGCCTTGGGGCCCTTTCTGTGCCACTACCACCACCCCGTCCGCATTCAGCCACTCAACCCCAGCAGGGAAGGGACACTGCAAGTGCTGCAGGACCACGGCACCTCCGGCGGGGAGGCCGAGGGGCCTGACTGGGGGCGGCCGGGGCCTCAGTTCGGAGCCCGGTGCTCGCTCACCTTCAGCGGGTTGGCCAGCAGCATGACCTGGGTGATGGCTGCGGGCGGCTGGACGGGGCTAAATGGAGACAGCTCTGTCCCAGAGGGTGGCTGTAACTTCACCTTCATCGACTGAAGAGAAAGAGAAGCTCCTTTGAAGAGAGATGGCAGGTGCCCCTGAGCGGAAGCCCACTAGAATCACGATGGACACATGCTGCTGCCTGCTGGCCTCGGGGTCCCTCAACACAGTGGGGTTCAAGAGAAGGTAACCTCTGCCTCCAGAGGCCTCAGGAAGCCAGGGGTACCTTTGGCACTGCGGCCTGCAGCACGATGCTCTTGACGGGCAAGGGAGCCGTATTCAACATGGATACCACCACCACCAGCACGTCGGGCCGTCCAGGTGGACACTCCTTGGCAAAGTGGAAGAGGATGCGGAAGCCATTTTTATCATAGGCTGTCACAGGAAGGGCGCTGCCTGCAGGAAGAGGTCAGGTGGGTGTGGAAGGAGAAACCCCACAGAGCCCGGAGGGGAGGGGAGGGCGGGCGACCCTGTGGCCAGCAGGCTCCGAAAGAATCTGTCAGAACCACCCATGACTGCACAGTGGCAACTAGCGGAGGCCGAGACAGCAGGAAAGCCGGTCACATTTGGCTCTAGGGACCCGGGCAAGGACAGCCTGGGCCCACCCCTCACTACCCATATCACTGCAAGCTGTGGGCCCCGCCTCGCCCTCCCACCCCAAGCTTCCCACACCTACTAGGCTTGATAGATTCCAGGGGGACGTGGACACTGGCCAGGGAGAGCTCTGGCCCCTTCATGGGGCTGCCCTGGGACTGGAAGGCAGGCGGCTGGAAGAGAGGGCTGCCAGGCCCTGGGGAGAAGGGGAGGAGAGGCCTAGCAGTGGTGCTGGTGGGGATCAGAGGGGAGGTGGTGGCCCCAGGGAAGAAGATGGAAGAGACGGGTTTCACCAGGCCTGAGGTCCTGAGAGGCAGGAAGGAGGACAAAGTAAGTCAGAGATCAGGGGATGCTGCTGGGCCAACCCACACGTCCTCCATGGCACGGCTGGTTCTTACTACCACCCCCACCCCAGTTTCCAGATTCTAACATCAATAGACCAAAAAGGAACACCCCAGGCCCTCCGGAGCTGCCTCCGGTTCTGCCAAGCCCAGGCCCAACCCTCCGCACCCTCACATTTCCCACTCATTACACTCTGGTCTCTTCAAGAAGATGATCAAGGGCATCCAGCTGGTGTAGGGTGCTATCGCCCAAAGCTGAGCCATGGTACCCGAGGGCTGTGGACTCAGCCTTTGGGGCCGGGGCCAGTCCAGTCGGGAACAAGAAGGAGCCTGCTTTGGGTGCAGGAACACTGGCTGGAACCACGGGAGCTGGGAAGGGAGAAGGCAGCGGGGCCTGGGAGCTGCCTGCAGAGGGTGCTGAGGGCGGGACAAGAGGCCCATCTGAGGGGCTGCAGGCAGCACTCCCAGGCTTGGGGCTGCAGAAGTCCAGGTCCGACTGCTCGTTCTGTTAGGAGGGGAAAGTGTGAGTGAGCAAAGGGCAGGAAGGAGTCGTTGTAGTTGGTGGGTTTCAGGTCTCCAGCTCTGGCCCTCTTGGCTGGGGGGCCTACTAGGACCCCACTGGACTAGCAGCTCACTGCCCCGGGCCTGCTGTTGGGTGGGATCCGTGTTCTCGAGCGCACCTGGGGCAGTGCTGGGGCGAGTAAGGACCGCCAAGACCACAGCCAACCGCAGTAGAGAACGAGCTGGGAAAGAGGAAGCCCGTGAAACTGGTCGAACATTTCAGTGATGCCCCTACCTGGAACAGGGGCCACTGGCTGTTTGCAGCTGACTCTCTGGGAGGAGCAGTGGGCGCTGGGTCAGTGAGGCCTGAAAAGAGAGAAGACGATGGTGACGAGAAGGGACTCTGGCCTTGGGCAGCCCCACTGACTCTAGAAGGGTCACATGACGAAAGTCGCTGACAAAAGGGTGACAGGTGGGGACAAGGTATTTTTTCAGGCAGCCTCCAAAGGGAGAGGGGGGCAGAACAAGACGCTCAGTCCACCATGTCCGTTCCGGAGTTTGTGTGCACACTGCCCTGGGGGCCTGAGGGCACGGAACTGACTCTCTCTATACCTGAAGTCCCCTTTCCCACCCCTGCTAAGTACATGGGGCACCCCAGGGCCCTCTTCCCCATTCCACACGCCCTTCTGCTTTGCTGGCCCTACCAGGAGAAGCCCTTCGCAGCCTCGCTCCAAGACGCACCCAAGCAGAGCAGCTCCTCGTCCAGCAAGCAGAGGGCGTTGCTTGTGCTGCTGGGTCCCGGGGGGGCCTCAGCCTGGCTGGATGAGTGGCTGCGCCCAGGTCCTGAGGTCTGGGGGGGTGGGGGGAGAATAGGGATGCCAGAGGACGGTGGGGCAGGGGCTGGGGCCAACACTGAGGATGAGCTGCTTGGTGTGTCCAACTCAGCAAGGTCGATGAGAGTGCCTTGGTTCCTAGAGCGGTTTCCTGGATGGGCGAATGGAAGGCGACACGAATGATTAGGGGCCACTCTAGTGGCTGCACAGCAGGAAGCAGAACCCTGAGTACATCGTCCAGCCTAACTAACACTGAAGAAAAGCAAGCAAAGAAAACCCTACCCATAGCTCCTGGTCCCTGGGAAGCT